GATTTGTGCCCAATATTGCCTGGGAATTCACTTACACAAACCAAACCAGCAAAGCTAAGATATGGGAAAGTTTTTAATGCTCCAAACCAGAAATCATTCTTTGAAACAATGTCACATTCTTGGCTGGTAACTTTGTAAATGACTCTGAGTGAATAAAACCATAATGTTAATAAAAATAAATCTGTATGTATTAGAAGCATAATTTGTGCCAGGCACTATTGCAATTAAGCCCCATAATAACCACATAAAGTAGTGTAATTATTGGCCCCATATTACAGACCAGGAATCTAAAGATCCAAGAGTTTGGATAACTTACCTAAGATCACAATTAGTAAATGGTGGAACCAAAATTCAGTCCAGATCTGATCTGTCCACTTCCAAAGTTTATATTATTAAACCCTAGTGCATACAACCTCTCAGAATGTAGTTTCTTCCACTACATTCTACTCCCTTGGGGAGGGGGTACTGAAAAGAAAAATGAAAAAAAGAAAGTAATTGAAAACATGCTTTATTTGCTTCAAAATATTTGTCCAAGTCTAGTCTTGCTTGTATTTTTTGAAAGGGAATTTATCTTTCTAAGAGCGGTGAAGCTACTTAAGAGCTAGGCCCCAAACTCAAATATTTAAGTCAATTTCCCTTCTTGGCTTAGACAGTTGTTTGGTCCCTGGTGAGATAAAGGAAACATGCCAAACACAGTTTCTGAGCACATCCCTGGGGGATTTCCCCCAATACTAGGAAGTAACTAAGAGGTTGTTTGTATAGCTATTTACAGTTCACAAGCACTTCACATGTGTTAGCTCACTCTGATTCCCAGTGAAGTGACAGAGTGGTGGTTATTAACCCTTTACCGCTATTAATTTCAAATGGGAAAAACTGAAGCTCAGAAAATTCAAGTGACTTGCTCCCTCTCAGGTCACACCAAAAGTGATGAAGCCCCAATAAACCCAGGTCATGGAATTCCATTTTCAAGTTAAACTAATGTTTTCCCTTCAGTGGCTAAGGCAGTTTTACAAATAGCACTTTATTAGCCCATGCACACAGTAAACACATACAAATATTCCTGAGAGATGATGTCATTATGGCAAATTAAGCTCCAGATATAAAAATAAGCCTTTGCCCTTTCATGGCTCTCCTTTTCTGTGACTTTTAAATGCTGTGAAATAAGCATAGCTGATATTATCATTACTTTTCTAATAAGAATACTTAGACTCCACATTTATAGTGGGTGACCTCTCCTATAAAAGTCAGTTCTTGAATGACTTCTTAATTTAGAGACATCTAATAGACGATACTCACTCTAAACTATACTTAAAGGTATTTCAGCCTAGGCTAGCAAGTTTGGAGTAGCAGGAGCTTTGAGGATCTGTGGACTTCTTAGACACTCCTAAAATAATTCTTAGTACACTAGCCTCTACACTGATGCTGAAGTTGAAACTCAAGTATTTTGGTCGTCTGATGTGAACAGCTGACTCATTAGAAAAGTCCCTGATACTGGGAAAGATTGAGGGCAGAAGGAAAAGAGGGCATCAGAGAATGACATGGTTGCATGGCTTCACCAAAGCAATGGACATGAACTTGAGCAAACTTCAGGAGATGATGAGGGACAGGGAGGCCTGGCTTGCTACAGTTCACGGGGTCACAAAGAGTTGGACACCACTGGGCAACTGGCTGTTGTTTGTTGTTACAAACAACAACAACAACACTAGTCTCTAGTTATAGCAACACTTTCACTAAGAATTTACAGTACAATGATTATTCAGAAAGTTTTCTTTCATTTTCTTAGAAAAAACTAAACGACACACTTTTCAGTAGTTGCACAATCCCTTCAATTAACGGAAGGCCTAGTTCTCACTGAAAGACTTTGTCTAATTCTTCCATTACTGATCTTCTTTAGAAGTAAAGTCTGAGGTAGGGGCAGATCCAACCAGCCCCAGTTCCTAGGTTTGCAGGCTATACCAGGTTCCCTGATCACATGCACACAGCAAACTCTGTCTCACATCAGTTGCCAAAATGACTCAGCAATACAGCTCATTTTCCTACTCACACCCGTCTACAGCTGGACTCAGGGGCAAATACTAAAAGTACTTGGAAAAAGTAAAGTTGGAGTTTATCATCATTACTACAACTTCCATTTGTATAACTTTTGTTTTCCTTTTCAAAGCACCTTTCTACATATTCTCTCCTTTGGTCCTGTCAGGGAGAAAGGCAGGAACTCTACAAACCCATGCAAATGAACTTTCTCATCCATGCTAACCAGATGGCATCCTCCTCAAACTTCAAAGCCCATACATGAAGTTACACACACTAGTGTGCCTCAGCTATGCCCATAGACCCACACTGAGATATAAATAAATACAAAGGGAGTGGAAATAAATCTACTTACTCTTGATTAGAAATCCAGAAACTTGGCTTCTTTCCCAACTTTGGCACTTAATTATATGACCTTGTACTGATGATATGCTTTACTCCAAACTAAGTATTAATTTTAAAATCTATTCTAAATCTGTGCAGTTCAAAGCAGTAGCCACTGTCTATATGTTAGCTATTGAGCATCTGAAATGTGGCTAGTGTAAGTGAAGGACAGACTTTTCTATTTAATATAATTTAATGTATTTACATTTAAGTTTAAATAAGCACATAGTACTAGTAACTATGGCATTGGGCAGCACAGAATAATGTAGGGATTTGGGACTTAAATAATCTGTACCAGCTCTAAGTGGTCTATACCATTCTGTCCTACAGGTCTTATTCAAACTTATTCAAAATTTTCATTTATTGTGTCATGGCTTCACCAGAAATGACAACTCAAAATTGATTTATATCATGAGGTAAGCCCTGGGGCAGAAACAGGGAGAGTGATGAGAGTCATATTTCCACAGCCAGACTGATACTTTTCATCGTCTCTGATTTTCTCTAAGCTGGAACTAAGCATGAATCATGGTATCCCAGTCTCTTTGAGTGAATGCATATGTGTGTACAGAGCTGGGCTGTAAATATAGTAACACTCTTTATCTACCTTTCCAAAGTGTTGTGAGTATTAATTGTGGGACAGTTTCAGTTCTGAAAGAAAATAAGTGATATTTCTTGATTTTGTGGTGAAATAAACATCTTTAGAAAATCTCTTTCTCTTATGGCCTCAGTTTCCTTATCTATAATATAAGAGAGTTGAACTAGATTTATTTAACAAACCAAACAAGGCAATCAGCTAACATCTAGGAACACAGTGATTAACCAGATATGTCATACCCTCAGGAACTCAATTTTTTTTAAAGTCTAAACAAAATGATTTTTCAAGGCCTTTTCAGCTATAGAGCTGAAAATTAAGTTATGTAAGTTATGAATCCTGCAGCACAAAGTTAATATATGAATGCTGTCTTGCTGAAAATCTTATAACCTTCTACCCAAGTCTTACTCCATTAAGACAGAGTCCCCATCTAACTACACATTATTCACCTTCTCCCTCACCATTCCCTTCTTGGTCCTCTCCACCCCAATAAAAAATTAAGAACTGAAAGAGTCTGGGGAAAATAAGAAAGAATATAGAGATGACAGCAAAAATATATCAGTATGATATTTCATCATTTCCTAAAATAATAGAAAATGTAGGGACAAGTATGTAATGAAGACAGAGAGGATGGAAAAGAAAGGATAGAGAGATGAGGAAAGGAGATTAGGAATCTGCTGTCAATTATAACAAACATGGCATAAATTGATATAGCTAAACAAGGCCAAAACACAATTGGGGATGAGTGGAGCACTGCTTTTTCCTTTCTAGAGGCAGAGAAACAGCTAAGGACAGATAACTGGAGGAGTACATAGAGGCACCACAGAGCATTCTGTCTCTGCCACAGTTATTGTGATATCCTCTTGAAAGATTTTGCCTCTTTCTTTTTCCTTCCTTACCCAAGTATGTACTATGCTTCCACCATAGTTGAAAATGGCAGTAACAGTCCAGATTGGAGGCAAAGTGGTAACTTATCCTCTGTCTCTCTTATGAACTTTCCCCTAGATCTCTGGGGATCCAAACTCAGTTGAAGAAATTCTATTTCTAATATCACTTCAGTTAGTAAACTTTCCAGGAAAGGATTAGAGTCTGATCTTGAATCCAAATGTTATCTCCTTCTTCAATTTGATTGAATGACTTTTCCCCCCAACTAATACCACATCCAAGAATACTATGAAAGGAGATGAATATTTAAGAAACCTTAGAGCCCTGACCCCAGGTTGGCTGTGAGATAATTCTGGTACCTACCGATGCAAAGTTCAAGCCTTTGTTCCTGCATCAGGTAGCAGATCAGAAGGCTGTTGCTAGTTTCCTGATTTACTGAGCACACAAATTAGTTATTAGTTATAGGGCTATGTTTTCAAAGTGTTAATATGAACATATTTATGCCATCCCCAGATGAAATATTTTAATATAACTCAATACAATTGAAGTAACAAACTCACATTAGGGTATTATTATCCATTTGGTTCATAATATCAAAGTGCTGCCCCGAGTTCCAGTCAACACATAACAGACTGCTATATCCCTTTCTCCAGAAGCAGACAGAGTATCCCAAAGCTCCAATATCCCAGAGCCTAGCCAAAGACAAATTTCTTCTAAATTCCTAACACAGGCCCACAGACAGAAAACCCAGTCATTCCAGACCATTCTTAGTGTGACAGAAAGAAAAAAAAATCATTTTTAATTCAATGGAGGTAATGTATTGCCGTGGGGATTTTGAGAAACCAAATTCAACCTAAGACATTTATTTTTCAGGACATAAGACACCAGAAAGGAGAAGGATTTTTAGAATGCAGATAGAGCCATAATTGCAGTGAGAGAGAGATGTGAAATTTATCTTGCCTAAGATCAGGTTTCACATGCTGACGGTTATATTAGCATATACTGGTAGGATTATATTTCTCCACCTACAAATAGTCTAACCACTCCCCCAAATCATAAAAATCAAAGAGAACTAAACTGGACAGTGTATACTCCTTCCTGCTTCCAATCTCAGAGCAGTTGTGTGATTTCCTGAGGATTCCGTTGCTGGAGCTAGGGATAAAAGTTCATTTATACACACAACAACCTGCAAGTCCAGTTTCTATTCTTCTCTCTTTCTGCCTTCCCCTTCCCCCACTTTGAACCAGAGTAGCCAAATTGAGGCGTGCTTTAAACAGCTTGAGGACTGATCTGAAAGAGGAAGAAGAATTTGTATACATTGGCTAGCATATGTGCCCTGCCCTCGTCTCCTCTTGAAAATAGCAACAACTCATCTTTTCAAAGAAGTTTGCCTAAAAGAGCAGGCACACTGTGAATGGTGTTTACTTTCAGGACTTCCAGGGTATTCAAATTTACTGTACAGCTGACCAACGATGATTAGCTTTCCAAGGGACGGATAGATTGGATTTACTGAAGACCTGGAGCTTGCTTCTGAGAGTGAATGCAAAAGACCCTAAATTGCCAACCTTCAGGTTAACAGGTAAGCTGATTCAATGTTTTTTTCAGTGCTAGAACCAGGCATTTTGCTGATGGTAGATTTTAGCAAATTCCCAGGAGTTTGAGGATAAACAATTTGCCTTGTCTGCTTTAAATTGGGCTGCTAGTATGATTCTTTCTGCTTTATTTATTGGATAGAGATTCAATAATCTAATCAGTCAGTCAACAATATTGCTCAGTGCTTCTGTTAGGGGTTCAATGTTGCAAAATATAGAGGGGACACTCCCCAAGCCTCCAGCATCTTTGCAATCAAGTAAAAAATGTAACAGATATTTTTTATTCTTTATTAAGGGCTCAATGAAGTTTCTCTAAACTGTAGTAGCAGTTTCCTTTAACATACAAATAAAATATACAGTGACTGCTGAAGGTAAACCCACTATTGAAGACTGATTTGGTATCTTCACAAGGTAGTTTCATATTCATTATCCTACTTGAATCTATCAATATTCTGCAATTTAAAGAAGTAAGTGTTATTATTTCTGTTTTGCAAAAAAATAAATTCAAAGGGGTTAAGAAATTTTCTGGAAACTTGCCACACAACTAGAATTGGCAAGTTCTGACTAGAAACTGCAAGTAGAAAGCTCTCACAATTATAAATGAATATAAGGAAATTAGATGATTTAGTAGCTTGGACATATCTGACTTATACCGGGTTTAAACAGGCTTACCACTTCATATATTTTAATCAAAATCTTTGGCCAGGAAAACCTTCTACTTAAAAGCAAAGAGTTGTTTTTAAAAGCAAAGAGTTGTTTTTAAAAGCAAAGAGTTGTTTTCAAAAGTAAACAAATGGGTTGGTGGATTCCATCTATAGCTAAAAAGCAAAAACAAAAATTGACTTGAATTCAGTGGTTCTGCCTTCCAATCCTCTGATTATTTTGAAATCTAGAAAAAGGATTTTTCAGGCTATTATTAAAAAAAACAAAATGTAACTAAACTCAGAGTTGAGATTGCATTGCATTTCAAATATGTTGGTGAAATTTGTTTCCAGATAATTTTAAATTTATAATCTCTACTACAACAAAATCAAGTTTATGGTATGTACTTAAATTATTCAGAAAACTTTCTGTTGCTGTTTTATTATTAATTGCTCAATCAGAACTAAAAGCAGTCTATTTTTACACTGTAAGTAAACAACCTAAAGTACTGTATTTACTTCAGTCCCCTTAATAAAAGCTGTTCTCCAAGCCCCCATGATATTTAAATGACTATACTAGCGAGTCCCTTCCTGCAAATGAAATAAATCAGCCCATGAACCCAATAGAATAGTAAAGTGAAGTGAAGTAAAAGTCGTGTCCAACTCTTTGCGACCCCATGGACTATACAGTCCATGGAGTTCTCTAGGCCAGAATACTGGAGTGGGTAAACTTTTCCTTCTCCAGGAGATCTTTCCAACCCAGGGATCGAACCCAGGTTTCCCACATCGGTAAAGAAACCCAGGCAGATTCTTTACCAGCTGAGCCACAAGGGAAGCAATAGAATGGTAGGCTAAAGAAAGTTTGCAGGTTGAGTCCAGTGCGAATTCATCATTTAGGCGAATTTGCCATACATCAACATGAATCAGCCACAGGTATACATATGTCCCCTCTCCATCCTGAAACCCCCTCCCACCTCCCTCCCCACCCTATCCCTCTGGGTTGTCCCAGAGCACCAGCTTTGGGCACCTTGCTTCATGCATCGAATTTGCACTGGTCATCTATTTTACATGTGGCAATGTACATGTTTCAGAGCTATTCTCTCAAACCATCCCACTCTCGCCTTGTGTCACTGAGTCCAAAAGTCTCTTCTTTTTACATCTGTGTCCCCTTTGCTGCCCTGCATGTAGGATCATTGGTGCCGTCTTTTTAAATTCCATATATCTCCCCATCAACATGGTAATTTCCCGAAAGGCAGGAACTACGTCTAACTTTACTTTGTGGTACTTTGTGTGAGCTTAACTGAAGATTGTTTAACTGAATTACAAGAGATTTGAGCTATTTTAATAAGAACATAAAAGTAGCAAAATAGATCAGAATAGCGGTCCATGCAGAGCTATCTGTGTTACTTGGGAGATTATGATAGCTACTCTTCATGGCATCAAATCCACAAGGTTTGATATATATCTTAAGGATCAGTGCAGTTCCTTTAATATCTTATTATTAATAAGCAGTACTGCAAAGGAAAATTTATGATTTTCAGCACCATGGGTGAATTTTGCTTTTATCTCAGATAAATAGTTCCTGAAAAATCAAAAGCTTGACTAAATATGGGAGAGAAAACATAGTAGAAAATGAAACTATGATTCTTGGCTAGGAAGACACCTAAATGCTGAATTCATACTGGACTCAACCTGCAAGCTTTCTTTAACCTATCATTCTATTAAATAGCTCTGTATGGACCACTATTCTGATCTATTTTGTTACTTTTATGTTCTTATTAAAATAGCTCAAATCTCTTGTAATTCAGTTAAACAATCTTCAGTTAAGCTCACACAAAGTACCACAAAGTAAATTTAGATGTAGTTCCTGCCTTTCAGGAAATTACCATGTTGGTGGGGAGATATATGGAATTTAAAAAGACGGCACCAATGATCCTACATGCAGGGCAGCAAAGGAGGCACAAATGTAAAGAAGAGACTTTTGGACTCAGTGGCACAAGGCGAGGGTGGGATGGTTTGAGAGAATAGCACTGAAACATGTACATTGCCACATGTAAAATAGATGACCAGTGCAAATTCGATGCATGAAGCAAGGCACCCAAAGCTGGTGGGGAGGCAGGTGGAGGGAGGGGTTCGGGATGGGGGGACACATGTATACCTGTGGCTGATTCATGTTGATGTATGGCAAAAGCCATCACAATATTATAAAGTAGTTATCCTCCAATTAAAATAAATTAATTAATCTTTTTTAAAAGAATGACAGAACATAAAAATATGAGATGGTAAGCCAGTGTTGTTTTTAATGGCAAAGGCATTTAGAAAAAAAAAAAAAAAAACAGTGGGCTGGGATGAATGGAGAAGGTGTCACAGAGAAGATAAAATGAGATAGGTCTAGAAGAATATCTAGAATATGGAACCATGCTGAACAAACTTTCTCTGCACATAGTAAGTGGTAAATATACATTGTTTAAATTCAATTCTAGTCACAGAAATGATGTGAGAAACATATTGTGTCATGACTGAGTTTGACACCTACAAGGTACACTGAGGAGCCTGATCTGGGATTGTGTTGAGGTAACACAAAATAAATCTGGATAGAAATTTAAGGCCAAATTATTAGCCATTGAATTCCAAGCACTTTTTAAGGGGTAATCATATTAGCAAACTTTGAATAAGTGAAGACCTGATAAAAAAGTATTTTTAGTAGACAAATCTAGCAGATTTTCATATACCTGAGTACATTTATAGAAAACTGGAGATGGAGAGACCACTTAAAAAGAGTAGCAGTTCCCACCAAGAGTGTAAGAGGGGTCCCTTTTCTCCACACCCTCTCCAGCATTTATTGTTTGTAGACTTTTGGATGGCAGCCATTCTGACTGGTGTGAGATGGCACCTCATTGTGGTTTTGATTTCCTCTTCTCTGATAATGAGTGATGTTGAGCATCTTTTCATGTGTTTGTTACCTATCTGTATGTCTTCTTTGGAGAAATGTCTGTTTAGTTCTTTGGCCCACTTTTTGATTGGATTGTTTATTTTTCTGGTATTGAGCTGCATATACTGCTTGTATATTTTGAAGATTAATTCTTTGTCAGTTGCTTCATTTGCTATTATTTTCTCACATTCTTAGGACTGACTTTTCAACTTGCTTGTAGTTTCCTTCATAGAGACTCCTTTTAAAAAACTGGAAATAGAACTGCCATACAACCCAGAAATCCCACTGCTGGGCATACACAGCGAGGAAACCAGAACTGAAAGAGACACATGTACCCCAGTGTTCATAGCAGCACTGTTTACAATAGCTAGGACATGGAAGCAACCTAGATGTTCATCAGTAGATGAATGGAAAAGGAAGTTGTGATACATATACACAATGGAATATTACTCAGCTATAAAAAATGCATTTGAGTCAGTTCTAAAGAGGTGGATGAAACTGGAGCCTATTATACAGAGTGAAGTAAGTCAGAAAGAGAAACACCAATGCAGTATATTAATGCATATATATGGAATTTAGAAAGACAGTAACAACAACCTTATATGCAAGACAGAAAAAGAGACACAGATGTAAAAAAGACTTTTTGGATTCTGTGGGAGAAGGTGAGGGTTGGATGATTTGAGAGAATAGCATTGAAACATGTATGTTACCATAAGTAAAGCAGATGACCAGTGCAAGTTCGAATCATGAAGCAGGGTACTCAAAGCTGTGCTCTGGGACAACCCAGAAGGATGGGGTGGGGAGGGAAGTGGGAGGGGGGGTTCAGGATGGTGGGACACATGTACACCTATGGCTGATTCATGTCGATGTATGGCAAAAACCACCACAATATTATAAAGTAATTAGCCTCCAATTAAAATTAATTAATTTTTTTAAAAAGAGAGAAAAGAATAGCAGTTAATGAGGCTCTTCCACTGCTATTTGGTGGTAGTGGAAATGGAATGAAGAGTAACTCAAGAGTAATCGGTGAAAGTTGGTGAGTGACTAGATATAGGCAGCATAGGAAAGAAATGTCAGAGCTGTCTCTGAATTTTTGAAAGTATGGGATCTGGGCACTGATGTTACTACTATTTATATAAATATGTAATTTGAGGGTAAAGTGTTTTGACCAACTGGGTTTGAGGAGATGGCAAAAACTCAAAGCAATGTCCAATGAATAGTTGGAAATAATGACCCTGAACATGAATGATGGGTAAGAGGTGGAGGCCAAAATTAACTCTGGGGAGTGTAACAGCCAAAATCATAAGAATTACTCAGCTTAGAATAATCAAATATAAGACATGACCAAAGACTGAAATTCATGCAATACTCACACTTTCAGTCAAGAGGAAGAAGACAGTCCTGAAAAATAAGA